TATATATTGCAACCCACGTTCAATAGCTCACGCACTCACTTATTCACGCAAAATTAAACTTCCTTGGAGCCAATTAGAACAATTATAAAATTTCAAGTGTACTTGCATTCTTTTTGTTTATATTGCTATTAGTGACAATACATAGCGAGTCTAGCACTCACACTTTTAAAATCCACCATCTACCGCTCTTTCTCTCTACTCCCTTGATAGCATGTCCGCTACTATATTCTCTTTGCCTGGTATATGCTCTATAGTAAACTTAAATTCTTGTAACAATAGAGACCATCGAGTTAATCTAGAGTTGATGTAACTACAGTTGTTTAAATACTTCAAAGCTCGTTGGTCCGTTTGGCGTGTAAAGTGTACGTTGTTTAAATACTTTAAAGCTCTTTGGTCCGTTTGGAGTATAAAGTATACGTTGTTTAAATACTTCAAAGCTCGCTGGTCCGTTTGGAGTGTAAAGTGTACGTTGTTTAAATACTTCAAAGCTCGTTGGTCCGTTTGGAGTGTAAAGTGTACGTTGTTTAAATACTTCAAAGCTCGTTGGTCCGTTTGGAGTGTAAAGTGTACGTTGTTTAAGTACAGTGCTAACTTCCCCACTGCCCAGATAATGACCAAACATTCCCTCTCAATTGTTGAGTACCTCGTCTCTCGCGGTAGCAAGTTCCTGCTGACATATTTGACGGGCCGCAGCACCCCCTCTTGAGCCTGCAGTAGCACTGGGCCGATGCCGCGTGCTGAGGCGTCCGTCCTGAGTATGAACGGTTGGTTAATATCGGGCAGGACAAGGACAGGCTCTGAGTTTAAGTACTCCTGTATCAGCCCAAGAGCCCTGTTGCACTCCTCTGTCCAAGCAACTCTCTCTGGTTTATCCCCCGCCAAAAGGTCAGTCAGCACCGCCTTAAGATTGCTGAAGTTGGGGATAAATTTGGAGTAATAGCTAATAAGGCCTACAAGTTGCCTCACTTGTCTCTTAGTTCTTGGGATGGCAATGTTTAGAATTTTATCTATTTTACTTCTCTCTGAGGTGCCATTACTCCACTTCCCACTATATGACCGAGGAAACTTACCTGTTCAAATCCTAGTTCTATTTTTGACGGTTTTACAGTTAATCCCGCTTCCCTTAATCTCCTAAATACTGCCTCTAAGCTTTTAACGTGTTCCCCCCAGCTGTCACTATAAATGCATATGTCGTCAAAGAATGAGACTACGTTCTCTAAGCCTTTCAGAACTAAACGCGTTAATCTGGCGAAGCTTGCAGGAGCGGTAGACAGACCAAAAGGGAGATAATTAAAATTGTAAAGTCCCCAGGGTGTAGAGAACGCTGTAAGCTTCTTGCTTTTATGTTGAGGGGTATTTGCCAGTAGCCTTTGGTCAGGTCTAATTTAGTAAAATATTTAGCACTATTCAAATTGGCAAATAGCTCCTCTTGGTCTGGGATAGGCTCAGCGTCATATATGGTGACGGCGTTCAGCCTGCGGTAGTCAACACAAAATCGGGCAGACCCATCTTTCTTTTTGACCAAAACTACCGGGGCGCTATAGTCTGAGTTTGACTTTTCTATAATCCCTGATCTTTCCAATTTCTTCAATTTCTGCTCTCATTATTTCTCTGCGTGCGTAGGGAATAGAATAGGGTTTCATCCGAATGGGTTTAAAGTCACTTAACTCAATGTTGTGTTCACCTAAGTTTGTTCTACCCGGTATATTACTAATAACATCTTTGAACGCATGGATCAGACGATGAAGGTCTGTACGTTGCGACTCGGAGAGTTTTCCGTTAATTTGAATTGTGGTTAGTTCGGTGGGTTCTGTCACGTCAGGCGTTCTAATCCTAACCGGTGGGACACCCGGTTGCGGATCATTGCCCCACTCAGGCTCCTCTTCTTCTTCTTCGATAACACCTGATACGGCCGCTAGCACGGGATGTGTTTTGGACGTATCTGAATTATTCCTGTGGTGGTACAGTATTATCCGGTTTACATGGAAGACTTTTGTCTTCTCACCGACTCTAACAACATAGTCTAGGTCTGAGATTTTGTTAACAACTTCGTAAGGCCCTGCCCATCTAAGCTGCTCTAACTTGTTCAGCAGTTGAGGCTTTAGGACGAGCACATGGTCGCCAATTCTAATGTCTTTTACTTGATTTGTCTTATTACTCTTTGTATTTATCTTTACTCAGTTCTGTCTTTCTCGTAGCGTGCCTACACGCTGACTGTAATGTTTGTTTTAAGTCAAGTAAGTAGCCATATGCTAACTTAGTCTTACAGTCGCTAGTTCCTTCGCCTGTAAAAATGGACCTGAGTATGTTCATAGGTCCACTAACTTTTCTACCAAACATGAGTTCGAAGGGTGAATAGCCAGTGATTTCATTTGGGACTTCCCTGTAGGCAAGCAGAGCTGCCGGTATAAATTTGTCCTAGTCTTCCTGTCTATCTGCTGTGATTTTTCTCAGAATTTCCTTGAAAGTACCATTCTATCTTTCAACTTGCCCAGTTTAATACCTAGCAGCTTCGAAACCTTGTTTAAAATTTCTGACGTAAATTGGGACCCATTATCCGACAAAATAACTTCAGGGAATCCCATTCTAGTAAAAATTGAGACCAGAGCATCTTGAACCTCCGATGCAGTTATACTTTTAAGAGGTACCGCTTCAGGCCATCTTGTACATAGATCTATAGCCGTTAGGATAAACCCATTTCTCTTCTGTGTAAGCCTTAATGGTCCAACAATATCAAAGGCTAACTTGGCAAACTTGTCTCCAGCTGCGCCTGGCCATCAAAACTCTGAGAAATCCGGGCTTTGGTTCTAGCCAACCCCATGTGGCCGGCCATGGGTGTGTCGTGGCCTAGTTTTAACACAGTATCTCTAAGTGCTGATGGAACGACTAAACGAATTTGATCTTCCCCTCTACTGTGTCCGACGACTTTGAACAACAAGCCGTCTACAAGTGTATACTTCTTATTGCCCTTTTTTGCAGACTTCCAACAATTTTTGAGGACGGCTAGAAACTCTCCAGTAAGATAAAGAGTTTCAATGCTCACCAACGCTCTAGGCACTCTCTTGCTGACACCGTTGGCTGTCTTAATCGTCATCCTACCACGATTCCATCTACTTCTGTCCACTAACTGTTTCCTACACGCTATGACTACAGAACCTGTGTCGCGCAAAACAGTAACTGTCTGGTTCCCTGAGACGATAGGTAGTTTTCCCTTACAATGTTTTTCCCACAGATCGCTAACTATGTTCCCTATTGGCAAGGTAAACTTCATGTGGTTGATACACTGATCGCAATCTTCGCACTCTCCACTAAACTCCGGGACTAGTCATCTTTTTTTGCTTCTAAAACTGACCTTCTTCTGTTTGTTTCTGCTCTTATCCACATTAGGTGAATTATTACGCCCCTGTCGTTGTGTCCGCTCGGTATCGACATTACAATCAGCTGCTATATGGCCCTTTAGGCCGCATGAAAAACATTTCGTTTGTTGTCGAGGCGAGTTGTTATAAGTCCGTGTAGTTTGTCGAGATGGACCCGGTGACTGCACATAACTATACCTGTCTGAGTCAAAATTCTGTCTATATCTTGTGAAGTGTGATAGGCGAGGTCCAAAGTTGCGGTGATTTCGAGCTACGTGTGTTGTGTCTATAGCTGTGTCTAGAGTGCGGAGAATTTGATCTACTAAGACGTCGGTCATCTTTTGATGCATTGGTTCTGCTATTGTAGCTATAAGTTCTGTCGTTGCATCTGGAGAGTCGCCTAGCTGTTTCGTCGGGAATATAGCGAAATAGTTGTCACACTGTTTCTCCACCTCGTCAACAGTCCTACGATTATGTATTAGTATGTGTTGCCTGATGTCTTCACTTACTGTCCTTAAGATTTTGTCTTAAAGAATCAGATCAAACAGACCGTCATAAGTTTTCTCTATCCCGCTTAGTTCGACCCATCTCTTCAAATAATGTCTAGTTATCCTAATGTAGCTTCCTGGTTTGTCCTCAGAGTTGGGTTTGGATGAGTTAAACCTATTGCTGTAGCCTGACTCTGTCAGCCCAAAATGTTTCAGAACTTCTCGTTTTAATTTGGTGTAGTCTTCTGCTCCTAGCTCAGTTAACCAGGCATCACAGCCTCTGTCTAACAGAACTTTCCTGAACTCATGGCACCAATATCTTTGATCTAACCCTACCTCTCTAGCTTCTTTTTCAAAAATACCTATCACTACCTCCATGTCCATTGGACCACCGTTACTTTTTAAGTTAATCAGCTTAAGACGTGGGACATATGATTTTGTTTGTTCAACTACCCGTTGGTTACCCAAACTTTGTTGCTCCAATTCGAGGGTTTTTAATTAAAACATCTCTTCTGATTCTATTCTTAGTTTTTCTAAAGCTCTCTTAGCCTCTCGTTCGACTAACTCTATATTTAGTTTTGTTTCCTCTCTATGTTTTTCTTCTGCTTCTGCTAGTTTATTTTCAGCCCACTCTAGTAGTTTACTCTCTTGGCAAATTTTATACTTCTGGCCCATTGCCAAGTAATAACCAAGAAACCCCAGTAATGGCAACTCAGGAAGTTTACTTAACCTCTACGACTATAGAGAATTTCACGCGGGTATATCTAAACCCAATGGTAGAAGAAAACCAGAGTCATTGCTTTCCGAGAGCACCGCACGAGGGCTGATACAAAAGGCACTTACCCCAGAGTGTGATTGTAGGTCAGGAGTGCTGGTCCAATATATCAGCAGGCTGCTGCACCTTCACACGCTCACACACAAAATACACTGGGCTTCTGGGTTGGTAGACTAAAGGATATCAACGATGAGTTGGGTAGACATCAGCGTAGTCTTCACACGGCTCACTTCGTGACTTGCTAGACTGGCCAAGGAACACTTCGTATGGGAACGTTGTTTAAGGACGTCTGTTGCAGGAACAACTTCTTAAACGGATAGCGTCTTGCGGGAACAGTTGTTACGGGAGCTTGTTGCACAGCACAGTTTAGTTTACAGGAACATGCAATACAAGAACAGCGGGTACCAGAACAGCTTCATACAGGAAAATGCAATACAAGAACAGCGGATACCAGAACAGCTTCATATAGGAACATGCAATACAAGAACAGCGGGTACCAGAACAGCTTCATACAGGAACATGCAATACAGTAACAGCGGGTACCAGAACAGCTTCATACAGGAACATGCAATACAGTAACAGCGGGTAGCAGAACAGCTTCATACAGGAACATGCAATACAGGAACAGCTGGTACCAGAACAGCTTCATACAGGAACATGCAATACAGGAACAGCGGGTACCAGAACAGCTTCATACAGGAAAATGCAAACAGTGTACCCTGTAATTATCTAGTGAATGGATGTTTGTGGAATTCTGACCTAACACATGCCACATGAGAGTATAAAGGGTACATGCCACATCACAATTGGGTGAGCATGTATTTATTAAACAAAATACAGAATCCATTTTTTTGTACTACTTTTTAAACAGACGTCTTTTAAAGGCTCCAGATTGAATGGTATTTAAGAAGTTTACTGAGTGTTGAAGCTGTGGGTACTCAGTGTTACTGCAGTCGGTTCTTGCTGACACTGCTATAGGTACTCAGTGCTGGCGCCTTTGGCAATCGATTACATTGCTGTGGGTACCTAGCCTTAGCAGTGGGTACTCAGTATCACTGCTGTGGGTAGCCTACTTTGTGGAGAATCTGTGGGTGTACAGTGTCATTGATGTTGGTACTCAGTGCTGAAGATGTGGGTACTCAATAACACTGCTGTCGGTATTAAATGCCAGTATAATGCCACTGATGTGGGTACTCAATAGCAATGCAATGGTTTGTGGGTCTTTTCCTAAATATTAGTAAAGGTACCGGCAGAAGTAGGATAATTGTATGCGTATAATTTATGCTAAGCGCAAAATCGGTATGTCGCGTTTTCGCGACAGTCGGCGTTAATGGGTTAAACAGATGGCTTTTAAAGGCTCCAGATTGAATGTAATTAGCGATGTTTATTTTCGTAGTTTTTGTAAGAGAGGAGTAAGAAACTTCCTGACTGGGGCCTAATGGTGAACTGTGTCGATTCCCGTTAATTTCGGAGCTAGATCTTTTACTTTTTAATCTGAAAGCACGAATTCGACCGGTTCCATGACAAATAATCTGAGGACAAATGATCTCAGACACAATATCTCAGACAAAATATCTCACGGACAAATGATCTCAGGACAAATGATCTCAGACAAAATATCTCAGACAAAATATCTCACGGACAAATGATCTCAGGACAAATGATATCAGGACAAATGATCTCAATGACAAATGATCTCACGGGCGAAAGATACTAGGACAAAATATATCAGGACAAATGATATTATTATCAAATAATCTCAGACAAAATATCTCAGACAAAATATCTCACAGCAAAATTTTAAAAGTATGTACGATGATTTTAGTTGATTTGAACTTTTTTTTATTGACTGTCAATATGGTTTTGTTTACTTTTTACGCGTAATAATTGTGATTAAAATGAATCTGTTAAACTTAACAAAGCATCAAAAGATTTATTAAACTTAATCCTTCTAACAGCATTTGATTTAAAAAAGTAAAAATGAAAACTAACCTATTCCTGAAATGTATAATAAATGATAATGTATAAAACAAACATACAACATTAATGTTCAAAACACACGAAATATTTTTTCAAAAATGTGAATGGGTCTTTAGGTTTGTAACGTTAAATTATTGTTTTTATTGCATCATGAACACAAACGAAACGCTTACGTTTCTATGCCGGCAGGTACATCGTTATGATCACACCTCTCCAATACTATGTGATCACGTATTGTATGAACTCTTGCTTTACATATTCTATCTTCACATTTCCAAATCTCCTTGCCTGCTGTTCCACTTCTGGCTTTTATAAACATAAATCACCAGAAGCAAATGTCCTATACCCTTTTTGAGAGGCCTTAGCTGAGTAATCTCCACTAATACTGCTTTGTTTGCATGCACACTACGACAAACGTAGCTCCGAGTTGACCGATGTTCGTCTTAAATAAGCATTTGTCACCTAATCACTAAGGTGTGACCGACGCATAACTATTGACTTTAGATTTTAGTTGTGTTGTTCATGGAGGGTGGATTTCGTTCCCTTAAGGCAGTGGTTCCCAAACTTTTTCGACTGGCGAACCACTTTTATAAAAAGTAAGTGACCCGCGACCCCCATAGAATTAAAAAGTCGAAATTAGTATGGAAATTAATAAGCACTAAAATAAGATTTTCTAGTAGACTTTCAATATGAACTACTCTTGATAACTGTTTTAATACCATGATTAAAACTGCATGCTATTTACCAAACATTCGAGGTTAAGTTTTTATTAACGCCAACCTATGTCATTATCAACATTCAATTTATTTCTTAATTTTTTTTATAATCGGAGAATAGTGTTGAAAATCTACTCTCGAAAAGTCAATCAATTTACGTTTGGGTATGAATGGTGAATACTACACCAAAATTCTGTGAACATTTTTTCATCTTACGCGAAATCATTCTGCAAATCAAAGAATGCATCTTGTAATTCATCTGGAATGCTTGCAACATCAAGGGAAGAACAGAATGGGTAATGCGTCAATGCAGATTCTTCTTTTTTCAGCCCAGAGAAATAGCGCTGTATTTTGGTTTCAAGAGATTTAAGATGCCCATCTAGCACAGTGCAGAGTTTCTCAAATTTACAATATTGTCAAGATTTATTTTCTTCGCCGATTTTGCAGCTAGGTATCATACTCTCTCCAACCACTCTATGTCGTTTTAAGCATACCAAAAGGTCTTGTTTCCTTTGCACTTCCAAGAACAATATGATTTCAGATTTCAATTCAAAAACACGATTCACAACATTCCGTTTGACAGCCAGCGTACTGTAATGTAGAAAAGTAGAACCTCGTGATCTTTATTCATGTCTTTGCTCAGTTCTTTGAAGTCTCCAGATTTAATATAATTTACGACTTTTACTAGCAATGGAGTCATGATGGCAAGGACAGTGGTTAGGGAGCTAAATCTTTTCTGTTTTCTGAAAGCCCGATTTTGACCTGAACGTAGATGGCGCACCATCCGTTTTAACCCATCTGCTATAAGCCGCTGAATATTAGGCAGAGATGTATGTTGCATCTTTACTGCACTGGAATCCCCAAGAATTAACTTCCTATTCAATTAAGTCTCTGACGATTGCAACTAGCTTCATGCCGATGAAAGAACTCCATATCTTTTTTGGTGTGTTCCGAATGACTCGTCTCAAATGACGTTTTAGTTTTGAAGATTTCATAAACTCGTGACTGAGAACAACTTCATACAGTAGGCATTGCTTCTTCTCTATTCCATTTTCACTGATGTTAGTAAAGCCGAATTTCAGATACTCTTCTAGATATTTACGTTTTTTTCAATGCTAGGGTTTAGTCTACCAGTTGGCGACCCCATAGATAGCCCTTCGCGACCCCCAGTTTGGGAACCCGTGCCTTAAGGTATGTCTCTGCCATCAAAGGGGCGGCCACCTTGTTACAAAGTTGTGTCTTTATTGTTATTTAATTCCCTTTGATCTAGTTTCGTCCACTTGACGTGGTAGGATTGTCTCATCTTTGGCAAGCCCACCTAAGCTGGCTATCGAAAAATTTCTTTAATCTTCACATACTATATTAGTAATCTGAATTTTAACATGTTTAATGAAATATGACACATTTATGCTGCAAATATTTCTTAAAAACTATTATATAGGCCTATAAACAATATTACATATAGTAAACAATACCATATGACAGTCAATAAAAATGTGCAGATCAACTGAAATCATCCAATACACTATTACAATTTTGCTGTGAGATATTTTTTCTGAGATATTTTGTCTGAGATCATTTGTCCATGATATCATTTGCCCTGAATTTTTTTGTCCTGGTATCTTTTGTCCGTGAGATATTTTGTCTGAGATAATTTGTCCTGGGATCATTTGTCCTGTTACCCAATTTTTATTATAGAGATTTAGAAAATGATAAAAAAAGAGTTTGTTAATAAATGGCTACGGTGCTATGACTGATACGGTTGGTTAATTTTCAAGAAATGTTGTTGTGACGCGATTGAACGATCTGCCCAAATGTGCTGTCTGCTAGTGTTCTTGACATTCATTTTTTTCAATGTTTTAAATTAATGAAATTAGTTTAATAAGACATAATATATAATGTTTTATATGTTATAATAAGTTGGTGTATTTTCAAAATAGTATTAAATACGGAAATCAAAGTTATTTTTACCTTATGTTCTGCGCGATGGCCAAAAATTGTATAAAAGGCTACTTCACATCAAACACTATCTGCCTATTGTTAAAACAAGATGTCTCGCCCAAAACACGCAAAAATAACGATTACAAGTATGAGCATTTAATATTAACCATGGAATAATGTAAAAACGGAACCTCGGTGTTATTGTTCCCCGCGGCTATCATTACCATGACGACGGTTAAAAGTAGATCAAGCGATAGCTTACTTTAATTATGTCTTATTTTTTTTTTTACGTCTGTTATTGAATATGACTATTACATTTACTGATATTTTTCTTTTTATGTGCTTTATTTTCCTTTTGTACTTCCTTTTCCTCTTATGAAAACAGAGAACATTTTGAATTTGCACTATAATATTAATTACCAAATTAAAAAAACTAAACTTAAACTTAAGTTTGATCTTCATTTCAATCCAAACCTAACTTCTAGAATTTATTTATTCCATATGTGCTGACCATAGGAAGAAACCTGGCTCTAAAACAGCAGGCGACAGACCCTATCACCGTGGATGGGGATACAAGCAACTCAAATTGTTTGAAATCTAGGAGCTGGAGGGTTTCCTTCGCTAGACCGTCTTATATAAATAGCATCATCATCTACATGAACGATCCAAAAAGTAGTTCGTTACAGTAAAATAGAACATGTTTCAAAACATTACTTCATTCGCAGCCAAAATGTTTGGATTTCTCTTTTATTAGACAAAATCTGGTCCATCACAGGGAACATATTTAGCTATTGTTTATACAAATCTCATCACATGCATCAATAAAGATGAGATTTTCTACTGTATACACAACTTTGTCCTCTACGGCATTTAGGTTATACTAGACTACCCG